AAAAAAAAAAAAAAAAAATCTTTGAAATCATGATTGCATTGCATTTTGCTGTTTTTCAAATCCCAAAAAGTTCACTTAAAAAATTGAGTTATTGAGCTGTTTGGCCTCTTTGAAGGAATAGTTTACCCAAAAATGAAAATTTGCTGAAAATGTACTCACCCTGTAGATGAGTTTCTTTCTTTATGGGAACAGATTTGGAGAAATGTAGCATTCCATCACTTGCTCACCAATGGATGCTCTGCAGTGAATGGGTGCCGTCAGAATGAGAGTCCAAACAGCTGATAAAAACATCACTCCACATGACACCACTCCAGTCCATCAATTAATGTCTTGTGAAGCCAAAAGCTGCATGTTTGTATAAAACCAATTCCAACATTATGACATTTCTAATCTTGGCTTCTGGCTAAAACACGAGTCCTCTATCCATAATAATGCTTTCTCCAGTGAAAAATGAAGCCAAAAGCTGCATGTTTGTATAAAACCAATTCCAACATTATGACATTTCTAATCTTGGCTTCTGGTCCTCTATCCATAATAATGCTTTCTCCAGTAAAAATGTCATCTCGTGTGAATCAGGAGAGAAATATGCATGGACCAAGCACAGTTTACAAGCCAAAACAGTTTTAAACAAATATGTGGGTGGATTTTGATGTGATAGGACAACAGGGGATGAACTTTCTTACTGGAGGAAGCATTATTATGGATTATGAATTTGACCAGAAGTGGCAGTTTAAAGTTAAAAGATGGATTTGTTTCTTACAAACAACCAGCTTTTCTATTCATAAGATGTTAACTGGTGGACTGGAGTGGTGTGGATTACTTGTGGATTATTGTGATGCTTTTATCAGCTGTTTGGACTCTCATTCTGACGGCACCCATTCACTGCAGAGCATCCATTGCTGAGACACTGATGCAATGCTACATTTCTCCAAATCTGTTCCCATAAAGAAACAAACTCATCTACAGGGTGAGACATTTTCCGCACATTTAAATTTTTGGGTGGACTATTCCTTTAACTACTTTAAATTTTGAGCCACTTGTGGCTTGTCAAAATACAGCTTCAAAATATATTCCATAACAGAATAATAAGCACATTAGAAATGGCATAATCTTAACAAGGCAGTTTAAACCACACTCTATTAATTTGAACTCAGAAATCACAGATTTTTAGCATAAACAGTTAATGAAACCTTTGAGTTTTGAGTGAGAATAAACCACTGAGTTTTTCATGACATAATCTTAATCACCTGGTTTCACGGATGAAATGTTCAGGCTATCGAACCTGGCAACATTATGATGAGATGTCCAGTCTGCATTTAGGCAATTATCATTCATAAAACATTCAGACCAAGCCTAGGAGGACACTCAATGACTGAACTAGACAGAGCAAGCTCTCATCCTCATCTGAATAAAAGGAAGAAGGACCGAAAGCTTGCAAAGACACAATATCTGAATGCTTACAATTTAAGCTGAACTTAAAGATCAAGAACACAACAAACATGGATTCACATGTGATTTCTATGTTGAGTCTTTTAGAGAGACCACTGGAACGTTGTTCTCACCAACCGGTTTAAAAACCGTTTCTTATCAGACTGTCTCTCTTGCTCTCTTTATAGGGCATATTTTTTCAGCTTTCATTTTGTGACACTATATATGGGTAAAATCAGCTCCTCTGCTGCAGTACCGTCCTCTCTGTCATCACAAAACGTAAAATTAAACAACTGATGCCACACACGAAGATCAGTGTCAGCACTGCAAGCTGGAACAGTTTGTTGTCCTGGGTCGCTCTGCTGTCCGTAGGTATGAACCTGTGGCTGTTCTTTATTCAAGAAATGTCAAAATAATCCGATTATACAAGTACACTTAAGTAGAATAACACTGTTTTTTTTACTTGCACAAACTGTAGATTGAAAGTGACCATCTGTCTATATATCATTACTGTGGCATGTGAAAAAGGGATTGATGTGCACTTGAAGTGTACTTCAAATCTTAAAAGTAAAAAAAAAATAAAATAAAACTGTACTTGCTGATAATATAATATTTTAAAAATAAAATACCACTTAAGTGACATAAAGAGAGACACTTTGATGTTTCTTAACACATTTAAGTACACTTTTAAAAAGTGCACTTTGCAATAATGTCAAAAATAAAAGTTTTACTTTAAAGTACATTTAAATCATTATTTTTTAATAATCTTTTGTCATGCTTTAAAGAAGTACACTTATTTTGATGTGTTGACTAAGCTACAAAATTACATATTAAGTACTTCATTTTAATTGTAGTGTTTTAAAGTTAAAATATTTTAAATGTGCTAAATTGCAACTTCATCATTACAAATATGCGATTACAAATATATTTAAATACATTTAATTTCACTAGAAATTACATTAAAGTATATTTATTTATTTTTTTTTACCATAAAAAGACATCAACATAAATAATTATGAAATTGCATATAAAATGTACTTAAGTTCTACTTAAGTGAGTCAAGAAGCACTTGAGTGCTAAAGTTCAGCTAATTGCATTTAATTTAAATTTTAACTCTTAATAATTGTTATTGTATTTAACATGCAACGTGTCAAAAAGCATTACATTCAGTTTGACTTTAGTACATTATTTCCATAATAAGTACTCTTTTAAACAAAGGCTAGCATCGAAAATATGTGAAAGTTATTTAGTTTTATTGGTTTTACCTGATTAGGAAAGAGTATATTTTATTACACCTGTCTAACATGTTTATGTTGTTTATTTTTACTTAAATGTTGTGAGTGATATTGCTATGGGCAAGCATTGATCATTCTGGTTTAAATAAGTGAATTCTACTGTAGCGCTGACGTACAAGTATGTTGCATGATTTTTTCCCAAAACAAAAAAAAAGCCGATTTCATTGGTCAACTAAATAATGCAGTCACCTGTCAAGAAAAGATCATACTCATCAATTTAAAGTTCACACAACTGGTTTGAATCATGCAAGTAAGTCAAATATTAGCAGGTTGACCAGGAAAAAAATAAAATGTTAAAATGATTTTTGTAAAATTGCTTGCTTTTGCCGTTGGTTCTTCCAGTTCTAATGTTAACATTATGTTTGCAAACTCATCTGCCGCAAATGATATGTTTGCAATCCAATATTCATTAGTATTCAAACGGTATCAAAGAAGCTTAAGTTCATATACAAAGCTCATTTATTTTTGAGTGTTTCAAGAGATACATACTTGATAAAGACGACACCTCTGAGGTTCTCAAAACCACAAAAGTACTGATCTGCCATTAAAGAAAGGCTTGGCTGTAAAGGCAAGGGTTGATATGTTATATATAATGTTCTATACATTTTTAAATATGCTTATTTTTAATTAGGTAATTTAAAGGGATCATCAGAAGCACTGTATTGGTTTTGATTATACCAATCAATCAATGAAAAGTGGGTCAATTTTAATTTCACGTCGACTTGGAAATCTGTAAGTTAAATATACACTCAATAATTTTCTGCCAATTATTATTAGCCTTTTGTTTACGCAAAGGAATGAACAAGATGTTTGAGAAATTACATTGAAAAGATGTGTACTTACACGAGAAAGCCAAATTATTTTTCTATAAAAATTTTTTTTTTTTTTTTATTGGACATGGGAGTAGGTCACTCCATAATGTGCACCAGCCGACTACTAATTAATATAACAATAATAGTGCTACAGGAAGCATATAATTATTGCTTTCATCCAATTGATAGGCGAATCTCTAGGATCAGGTTTTTATGGACATTTTTGAACCCATAATAACGTAATTTAGGTATGATAATTTATATTGGTCTCATAAACTCATAAACACTATCACATCACCCTCTCTTTCTGCTTTCTACTGCAACATCAGGAGTATAGAGTTCCTGTTACTCAACTGGTAGAGCATGACACTAGCAATGGTAAAGTCTTGGGTTTTTGCATTGTAAAAGAACTTCTTTACTACATTCTATTCAAAGTAGCATTCAACATGATACATGATACAGCACCAATAACATACTCCAAGTTAATTGGTATGTATAAAGCATGGGAAAACACCTTTCAGTGGTGCTGTGACGCAGGTGTGAAGGGGGTTATCTAACAGCAGAAGAAGAAAAAAACTATTTGAAAATAGTAATTGATGCCATTTTGGCTAAATTATTAGGCTATATGTATAAAAATACCAACTAATTAATATAATTTTATTTCATTTATGTTTATAAATCTGTATGGTCCTCGGGCGCACTAATGCGGAGACGCACAATTCAGATTCCAAAAAACAAAACAAAACTGAAAATGCATGACACGAACAGAAGGATGACCAAGGGATGCTGGTGTAACACTAATGCATGTTTTGTCTGTGATCGTCCTAACCTGTCAGCTGGAGGACCTGTGCGAGCCACACGACCGCGAGAAGCCCGACTCCGCAGCAGTAGAAGCGCCGGATCGGTCGCCGTCTGGCGCTCCGTATCACCGACTTCATCCCGCTCCGTCTGTTCCGCACCTCTGAATCAGAACATGACCGCCGCAGATTCCTCCGGTTATAAGGCGGGGCTGATAACTACCTTCTTACTAAACTAAACTTTTGGGTTGCCTTGCTTTTCTTCATCACAGCCAACCCTGCGCTGTTGCGAACTATTTATACGCATCGTTCAGCTAAGAGCGCGCGCGGACCTGTCGTGTAGGCGCTCAGGTATCATCTGCTTCAAAGCGCGCAAATGCGCTCGCATGCCATTGGTCGTTGTGAGTGGTACCCTCTTTCGCTCTCTCTCCCTCTCTTTCTGTCTCTCTCTCTCTCTCTCACACACAAATCGCTTGAGGGCGGCTCTTGCCAGTAGTCGTGCTGTAATCGTGGACGACCAATAAGAACACTCTGGGAGGCGAGAGACTCAAATCTCTGAGACTGATAAACTGGAACGGAACGGTAGCTTCTTTTTTCCCCCCTTTTTCCCATGTTTAACATTTTTGATCACTGTAAATGACCTTATTTCTGTTAATGTTATCTCGTAGTTTCATACACTCTAAAAAAAAAAAGGGGTTACACTTTACTTGAAGGGGTGTGATAGTTCTTTAAAGGTTCTTTAACTCTCTCTTAGTCTTTTAGTTTAACTGGGGAAAGGGTTAAAACAACATAAAAATATAGTCTATTTCTTGAAGATATAATTTTTTTTTGCCCCCAAGGCCCCCATAAGGAAATATTCCAGGGCCCCCACATGAGACCTTTGACCTTAGAGGACCTCTCCAACAACTTCACACATTACTAACCAGTTAGACTTGAGATACTTTAGATACTTTATTTCTGGAGTATCTAAAACAGAAGTTCTTTGTTGAGAATTAAGGTTTAGATGTTTTTTTTTTTTTTTTTTCAACTTACCGTTTTGGTGAATAGTGTTTGCTTTAGTTGCCTCTTGACCCTTGACTTTCATTTTAAATTAAAATACGTTTATCTTTGGCTGTTACAGTAGTGTTTATAAAGCACATATTGGATGGCAAGGAACTTATGGTAAAATCATTTCATGCGTCTGAGTCTCTGGTTGCATTTTACCAAAATCTGTAATTTTTTTAATGAGTTTTATATTATTGCAGTTCTATGATACAACGTGAGAAAATTGTGTAAACCACTTTTAGAATTATGGGATATAAAAAGGTTTCAGTTCTGTCACTCATAGACATGAAGAATCAGCACGTGAACATCAGAAATGGTGACAAAATATTCTGATAATTTTGATATGATTTTTGAACATCACAAAACAGGGCAGTAAAAAGTCACAACAAAAATAAAAGCAAATAGTAAGAATAAAAGAAAATACTAAGCAATACAATGCAGCTGCATAATTTATTCATGTCGCAATGCATGCTGGGAGCCATGGATGAGTTATGATTGGTGCACCATTGTTGAGAAAAAGTGCTATATGGCACCTCTTATGGTTCTACATGGCACTTTTTGACAAAGTGCTATATAGCACCTGTAAAAATAGGTGCTAAATAGCACTAAAAGTGGTTCCCCTATGATTACAAGCCAACGAACTGCTTTTAGTGCTATATAGCACCATTTTTTTTAGAGTGTACTGATGACTTTTATATTATTCTGATTTGAAAATTAAAAGTATGAGGACACTTAAGTGACTTAAAGAGAGGCACTTTCATGACTGTTTGTTAACACACTTAAGTACAATTTTATAAAGTGACCTTTGTAATCATACTTTAAAGGTTTGAATAATCTTTTTTTGTGCTTTAAAGAAAAACACTTATTTTGATGTGTTTACTAACATACTAAAGCATATGTATTTGATTATAATTTTAATTGTGGTGTCGTTTTTATATTCCATTTAAAGTAAATATATTTTAAATGACTAAACTGCAAGGTCAACATTACAAATGAGTATTTGCAAATATATTTAAATACACGGCATACAAGTAAGTTTAAACATTACTTACAAGCCAAAACATTACATTCAGTTCAGACTTAAGTATAGACTTTGAAATACACTATATTAATCTTTTAAAGTATATTATAAAAGTAGTGTACTTCTTTTTCACAAGGGTGTCCTACCAGTAGGTGCAGCCCAAACTTTGACTGGTACTGTATAGTTATATCTGTATAAGGCGATAGCTTTTACATGTTGTTCATTCAAACTATTGCTAATACCTTTAGGAATCCGTAATTCTTTGTGGTTGCATTTAGTTTCTGCATATTCAAAGTTGTCACAATAATGATACACTGGAGGACCAGAGGCCAAGTAACATTTTTAAGCGAACTGAAACCAAATTGCCAACGTTTAGAACTACACTAGCATATATATCCTTAAAGATAATTGACATAGAAAACAAAAAAGGCACAGTTAAGTAACTTTATACCGATGTTCACCACAAGGTGGCGATGTTTACAGTGTGTATTTGCTCTTGCTCTTGGCATACTTCAACTCCTCACTGCAGAATATATGTGATAATACATCTGAGATATGTAATGTTATATGTTAATATTTTGGTCAGATATGTATTATACTATTTGATCATGAAGCCAAGTGAAGACATCTGTTTCATCTCCATGCCAAAATACTCATTTACGTGATTCATTTTCCAGTATGCAGTGAAAAAGACCAGACAACAAACCAACAAACGTGATCCCTGTTAAAATGGTCGAGTCATGTTTTGATGTTTTTCTAGGGGCCTTTAGTTTAGAACACTTCAGTTTAGTTTTAGAACTTTAGCTCCCACAGTTATAGAGAAACCATACACACAACTCTAGTGTTTCCAGAGCACCCGATTAGCCACAACTTCAGCATGATATCAGAGACATGTTTCTCTTCCATGTTCTGGAAGATATCACACAGCACACTCAAGACAAATAAAGACGAAACCCAGAGTATTGTTGTCATCAACAGTCCGCACTTAACAGACATAGCACAGAGAATGTCTTTGAATGCACAGTGTCTCTAAAGTTGGCCAGTTTGCAACCAGGACCTTGGCGAACCGCTAAGTGAGCTGCAGTGAAATGAATTCCAGCCATTTTAGCTTGTATCTCTGCAAAGCCTCTCGACCTGGATGAAGGAAGCCTTGCAAAGACAGAGCTCCTTGTGATCCCTGCCAACCCGTCAATCATAATAGCACAGTTCAGTTTAGTTGTACACTAATACTAGTGCCTATACCAGGGATGTGTTTCCTAAAAGCATCATTAGCTAACTGTGGTCAAAAGTTCCATTGTTACCAACGAATCTGTGTTTCCCGAAACCATAGTTCAAATGAACATTCGCAAACAGCATTGGACACTTACGTGGTTGGAACTACAGTGCTCTCAACCTGTAGTTAGAAGTATAGTTTCTTGTTAGTAAGGCATGTATTTTTAATATAACTCCGACTGGATTCGTCTGAAAGAAGAAAGTCATATACATCTAGGATGACTTGAGGGTGAGTAATTTATGGGCTAATTTTCATTTTTGGGTGAACTAACCCTTTAAGTCAACATTCAGTTCACTTAGAGAAATGGAGAAATAAATACACTCACTTTATCATAAAAGCACTGCCCTTGAAATGATAAGAGCTATATTTAGGAAATCGCAATGCTTGAGTTCTACGTCCATAACACTGTAGTGTAACATGATCAGATTTCTGAAATGGACATTTCCTAGTTCAGTGGTCAAAAGAAACCGATGAAATCTCACGTGTTATTTTATGAATTAAAAACGGGGACAATACTTTTTCATAACAATTGCTATTGATTAATGATTATTATGTTGCCTGTATTAAAGCCCTAAGCATTTTAATACAAGTCACCTAAAATCACACTATGAAAAATAGTGGACCTAACCATTGCAAACAACAAACAGATCAAAGCAGCAAAATTATGACTTTACAAAACACTTTACAAAAATAAAACAAAATGTATTTAACATACCTTTTCAGACCTTTTCTTGTGAATGTGAATTTAGCTGTTTCAAGTATTTACATGTTTTTTTTTTTCACTTATCAAGTGTTATGCGCTATTGGAAATGGATCAATAAAAATGAGAAATAAATAAATGTAATGAGCAATAAAATAAATGGAAATTAAAAATAAATAAAATACATGGAAATGAGTAATATTTTTTATGTGCATTTTTAATTTTTAATTTAATGCAATTTTAATTTAGTTGAACTACTTTAGTTCAATTTAATATTTATTAATATTATTTATACTCATCGACGTGTACTTTCACCCATGCTATAGTTAAGATGTGTGTGGGAATACTGCCTTGTGACAACGAAACTTTTCAGAACGTTTAAAGTTGTGTGCAAAACAATCCCGTACCCTGTTCAGACCGTTATATAATACATAAAAACAGTATTACTGTAATTTAACATGAATAGTTAGTACGTGACTACTTTGAAACCGACAAATTGATGATAATAGCGCTCTTTTCTCATCCATGTCAAGTTCTTCATGGCTAAAGTTTTGGCGCGCCACCAAGTAACCAGTGTAGCTCTCTGTTGGAGAAAATAATCACTACACAATTGCTCAGGTACACAGGTAGTTTTGCAGTGTATTTGATTTTACAGCATTAACTTAACCCCTTTGTCTATACACAATTAAAGGAATATTACAAGCTAAATAGACCACAAAAAGTTAGTTCACCCAAAAAATAAAGTGGCATCCACAGTAAATATTTTTGAATTATATTTCAGTGTGTAAGAAAGTATAGCAAATGTTTTAAGAGTTCAATCAAAGTACTATAAACGACACATTTCTGACACCAGCTCATACAGAAACAAGTTCAGTTTTTATTGCCAGGATCCCTCAGTTTCACAGATGCATTACATGATCAATCCCTATTAGTTAAAAGAAACAAGTACAGCTCCAGTGATCACCATACCATTTCTTTGTGTGTTTTGACTGGACGGCATATTCCTGTCGGTCCAGTCATTATTCTTTCCGGATATCTTAGATCAGTGTGCATAGTGTGTGGGTTTGTGGTTTGCCATACACCTACATTTTTTTTGTTTTATGTGACAATACTTATTTATAAAAGTGCCTGCTAACTAGTGATTCTGTTTTGGGAGCTGATCATTTATGGGATTGGTAGATACAATGCTATTTATTGGCAGATTTGGCAATTTAGAACAGTCACTGACATAATAGTAACTACTAACATGGACTAAGCTTTCTCTCTAAATCTGTCCTCGGGCATGACATGACATAAAAAAGAGCAACACATCTAGGAATGGTCACTAACAAAGTGGAAAATGCACATTCGTAGGAGTGGTTTGGATAGTCTGCAAGAGGCTTTTAAATGCACAGTCCGCAAATGCCACAGTTGTAGTGGAACGACACAAAATTTGGCACTACAACAATCCACTCGTGTTTTTCCAAGTTCATCTGCATGATTTGCTAGGCTTGACTGTGGCTTTGTTCCAGAGAAAGCAGGACGTACTTTAAAAGACCTCACAGATGCTTCAATGCATAATATAAGCATCACATTTAAAACAAAAGGACCAACATTTTGTAAACAACAGTAAAACTGAACTGTAACATGAATCAAACAGTAAAGCATTACCATATGATGAAAAGCATTTATGGCTTCATAAAACACCATGCCATAAAAAACACAGGGATTAGTTTGACATTTACAAACCTGTCCCTTTAAAATACATTTAATCACAGATGTGTTTGAAAGAAATTTAGTCTAAATGCATTCTTTTTTTTTTTCTTTTTTCAGAAAGGTTTTGCTGAAGAAGTGGCCTGATCCAATCCATAAATAACAACGAAAGTTATTTTTAACTGGAAACCACTTGGGTCACCACAGCAGTCAAGAGTTAGTTAACATTTCAGTATCGAACAAAAGGTAAATTCACAATACAGGTTTGACAATAAAAATAAAAAAAAAAATGATAAAACTGTTAAGAACATGAAAAGATGGAATGTTACATAATTTTTCAAGCAGCCATGGTTGAGTTCCCTGTCCAGTGTAATTTCAGGAGTTTTCCACTACGGAAAATGTCTTAACGATTGATATTATTCCAGTAAAACAAAATATGACCTGCTATCATGTCATGCCTTAATATTCTTACAATTTAAAATAACATTAAAAAAAAACATTCATTGGCTCACAAATTTGCATCCCTTCCACTTCAAATATACATATCTAGCAATAACATCCACATTTTCAAGATTAATAAGTTATTACATTTTTATAAATACATACACAGATACACAAGGTGGCTTAGAAATTGCTTGTCGCACTGGCGTGCTTTCACAGCCTCCTATGATCTAAAGGACTATGTCGCACACAGATGAACAGGAAATAGTTCTTTTACACTGCTCTTTAGCTAAGTAAATCCCACAAAATGCATCACCGATTGCATCAGTGTACTTCCTGTCTGTTTGCATTCTTCAAACTCAACAAACGGCAACAACTAATCAGCAAACTCATATTCCATCTGGATACAGTTTTACACACATCAGAGGGAAGTAACACTTATTTTGGCTCTACACTTCTTCACAGAGAGGAATAAAGATATATAGATTTCATTGTAATACATCAGAATCTGCTGGTACCAGGTTATCACAGTGACTCTAAAATAAAAGCATTTGAAGGGGAGATGACGTGTATGATGTACAGTAATGCTGAAGGATGGTTATTTAACATTTCGTTTCCCTTTGCGGTGGCGCTGTGCATTTCGCTCAAGTCCGGCATGTTTCGTGAGTGTGTGTAGGCAAGAGTCCAGTCATTTTGTTCTTCTTCTCATCACATTAGCAGTGCACCTTTAGGTGAGGTAAAGAGTGATATTTGGGTGCAATTAGGAAAGACACAAAATAGCAGTTTTATAAATATGTGCTGTCTCACAGTTCAACATAAAGCACTCTAGGCAATTTGTGTGAGAACAAAGTAGAACTGGTCTGGCTTGTCTCTTAAATCTTTGTGAGAACACTTGAATCAAATTGGCTGCAATCTTTATTAATAGAAATGGTCTATTTTAAGTCATGCTTTCCTTAGTAACTTAACACTAAGAATGGTTTTCTTCTCAAATCAAGAGCTGTTCAGATTCAGTGGGATCAGGCATAAGGCTTCATACAAAAAATAAAAAATAAAAATAAAAAGAAATGATAAAAATCACGGCATACACTTTGTCCCATTACTAACATCCAAATGGACAGTTCTACGACTGTGAAAAGGCATGAAATTAGCATTTTTTCCCCCTGGTATGTGTCATAATCATAAAATATACAAAACAAGTCCAGTGAATTATTCCAGTGCTGAATTCTGATGCCTGAATTCTGAATTCAAGTGGCTATTTAAAGCAGGAATTAATTTTAACCTCAAATGTTCAGTGCTAAAACAAGAAACATTTTACCGATTACCACAGAAACTAATTTCGCCTGGTCTCGCATTTTGTACACTTGTGAAAAAGGCATACACTTTTAAAAAGTATAAGTATATATATATATATATATATATATATATTAAAAATTATTATTACAGAAATTATACACTTAAAAAGAACAAACTTAAGTGTGTATTGTTTTCAGACACTTAACTGCATGTTAATTAAATTATTAATTGCAATTAAATGAAAAGTTCATAATTGTTATAGTTTAAATTTATATTAAATGCAATTTATAATTAATGCAATTGCAATTAATTTATAAAAAAAAGCAAAAAGCACTTAAGAGTGTCTTTTTGACCTACTTAAATAGGATTTCTAACTTAATGATTCTATTGTTTTGAAATATGGTTAAAGTACTGCTGAATGTACTGACAAGCATTTATGATAAACTAAAATATAATGTAATTTCTAATGAAACATATTTTTTAATTGCACATTTGTAATTTAGTACATTTAAAATGTATTAACTTTAAATGCAATATTGAATAACACACTATGGTTAAAATTATAATCAAGTGCTTTGCATGTGCTTTAGTATATGAATAAACACATCAAAATACGTGTACTTCTTTAAAGTACGACAAACATGATTTTAACTGATTTAAAATGCACTTTAAATGAAAACTTTTAAATTGACATTCTTATAACTTTTTAAAAGTGTACTTAAGTGTATTAAGAAATATCGTCATGAAAGTGTCTCTCTGAGTACACTTACAGTACCTTTTATTTCATTAAGTCAAGTTTTTTTAAATGTACTTTTAAGATTTGAAGTACACTACAGGTGCACATTCAATACAATCAAGCGCACTTCTTTTTCACAAGGGTAGTCACAAACAAAAACAGGTTTACCAAAATGCACACATTTGATGATTTTCGCTCTTGGTGTTGTCACTCTAGAGATAAGCAAGAAGCATTTAACCCACTGCCAGCAGAGAAAAAGGCTCGAACGGGCTCTGCCTATTTCTGATACTGTGATGTTTAATAGAGGGTTACAATTACACTGACATGTTAATAATTTTCCTCTAGTATATACACTGAAGCCACCGATTTCAACACAAATAAGGTATCTAATTAGAATGTATTGCTCGGTATCTGGACACGATCGTTTGCTTGTGACCATCCGGTTCACTATGTAGGAATCGGATGAAAAATACTTAAAGATAATATGATTTTGAACATTTATTGTCACTAAATGTTTTCTAAAGTCGAGTCTGAGGGTTGCAAATGATGACTTTTGGGCATTCTGATGTTTTTGAACAACATTAGCCAATGATTAAGAGTTTCCTACCAGATCGGATCTTGCACCACAGGCTATCGTTGTTAACACGCTGTCACAGTGATGGGACTATGTAAATCTAGCCCAGAAAACCTTTTAGGGTGCAACAGAGATGTTAATAATAGTAAGATTCATTTGAGTAAGAACGTACTTAAGCCGACCAGTTTGTTTGCGTGCACTTTTCTAGTAAGGCTTGTCAATGTTCTTGTCACTTAAGGGACATTTTTAGAGATTTGCTAACATTTTCATTGGCCTTTTCATGCGTCTTCTGATCTTTCTCGCTGCCATGGTTTGGCCTTCGATGCTAACATGGTTTGTTGACGTTGCAGAGCAGTTCGGTGACTTTAATGAGCCGTGCCACAGTGCTCTGGGACTCCTCTTGCAACCGCTGGTTGTTCTGCCTGAGATTTTGCACCTCTGCTTGCAGCATTGCCTTGTCCTCTTTCTCCTGTGGGAGGCATGCAAACATAATGACTTTCAGGCTCGAGCGTTCTCACTCTGTATTGGCAGGACACATCCACGCCACATGAGGGGTTGCTATGCCTGAATATGTTGATGGAATGACACACAGATGAAGACAATGGCTGAAGCTGGGGAAAAGATGGCTTGCTTGATTTGCACATACAACAAAATATGCCACACTATTACATGCAATGCAAACATTGATCCTTTGATGAACAAAAAACTGATTCTTACACAGAGGCCCTGATTTACTAGAGGTTTGCATGTATACACAGTGCCGTGAAGTCTATGAAGTCTCTTCTGTTCACCAAAGCTGCATTTATTTGATCAAATATACAGTTAAAAGAGTAAAATTGTGAAATATTGTTACAATTTAAAATAACTGTTTTCCATGTTAATATAGTAAAATGCAATTTATAGCTGAATTTTCAGCATAATTACTCCAGTCTTCTGTATGCTGTATGCTGATTTGCTGCTCAAGAAACATTTCTGATTATTATCAATGTTCAATACATTAAAAAGCAAAATAATTTAACAAATTTCAATTGGAATGTATATTTATTAATTAATTGGGCAGCTTAAATTTCCATTTCTTGTGTGGAAAAAGTTAGTACACCCCTACATTTATTAAGTGCCTTAAACTACAATCAAATCCAACAAATAATAACCGAAAATTAGTAGAGAATCACTAAACAGGACAGCCACACTTTATATGAACCTTATTATACTGCTCTGGTTTGTTCATAAACCCTAAAAAAATCTAAATGGCTTTGCCACTTTTGATCAATTGAATGCATTCTTAATAATAAAAGTAATCATTAAGTAATCATAAAAAAAAATTGCATAAATGAATTATGCATGAAGGACTGACAGACAATTATACAAATGTCAACAGGTTATTTCTCCCAAATGAATGCAAGACCAGCTACAAAACTGAGGGGTGTACTTATTTTTCCACAGTAGACATTTTGAATTAATTTCTGTATATTTTAGATCGGACAAGCAAATTAGTAGCTTTTATTATCTCAGTAAATCAGGACCTGCATGCAAATTAGTTTGATTATTATCAATGTTGAAAACAGTTTTTGCTGCTTAATATTTTCAAAGAAAACCATGCTACTGCTTTTAGAATTAGAAAGTGCAAAAGCATTTACTTGAATGTCTTCACTTTTGATTAATTTAATGCATTATTGCTGAATAAAAGTAAAGCAAATTAGTAGCTTTTATTATCTCAGTAAATCAGGACCTGCATGCAAATTAGTTCTTGATTTCAAAAAAAAAAAAAAGCCCAAAGTGGCGTCAGACATGCTGCATCAGTCATATGAAGCATTCATTAAGCTCTGGACATTATTGAAAAGACAAATACATGCATTTTTCATAACGTGCATGCATCCTGAATGATATTAATGCCCCAAAACACTGAAAGAGCAATGATGCCTCTAAACACGGTAGCAATTCACAGTAGACTGTTATCTGTGCATGTATAATAATGTTCATAAGGCCACACTTTTCTCTCAAGGTGACCGAAGTCTTCAGTAAGCTATGATTTACCTAGATGAGTGTGCTGGAAAACTGTGGGACATTATGCAGTCAACCATGCTCACCCTCGCTTTCCCTTCCTGACCTTATGTGGATAATGGGATCAAACAAAGGAGAACTGAGAACCTGGATCAGTGTACATGCACTTCAGTCATACAGTTGTAGGTCGATGTTAAGTGTGTGTGTGTGTGTGTATGTGTGTGTGTGTGTATGTGTGTGTGTGTGTGTGTGTGTACTATGACACGCCTACTCTGTGTGCTGACCAGCCAATCACAATTAACCTCAAATCTCTCCATTTCTTAACATCCATTGTAGAGAATGAGCAATAACAACAAAACTAAAACACTCAAAAGAAATTTAGCTCCCATAAGCAGGAAAATTCTTTTGAAAAGTGTGTGAAATGTTCTTTGTGTCGGGGTAATTCATCATTTAAAGGAATGTTCCCAGGTTCAACACAAGTTAGGCTTTATGGCAAAATTTATGGCAAAATTAAAGTGCCAAAAATGCTGTCTTGTTTCAGATCCAATAATAGTAATACTAATAATCCATATAAAATAATGAATAGATAATGCTCTAGTTTAAATAATTAGATTTTAATTAGATTCCATTTTGCCCATTTTGTGTTGCTGTTAAATAGTAGGAAATAGCGAGAGAGAAAAAACAACAACTTTACCCTTAAGGGCTGATAAGATTATGTTTTCCATTCCCTAATAAATTATTAGGTCACACTTTGTTTTAAGGTGTCCTTGTTACGGTGTAATTATATATTTAAGTACTGAGGAATATTAATTAACAAGATGTGTAGGGTTAGGATTAGGGTTTGATTTGAGGTTAGTTGCATGTAATTATACATAATTTACTGTGATTACTACAGCAAGTACATGTAATGTGTAACAAGGACACTAAAATAAAGTGTTATTATTAGTAGTATTATTAGTACAACATATTCTAACTTAACATTGTATTTTAAAACTGGGCTTTTCCAAACCAAGAAACTGAAGTTTGAGTCATTAATCTAAATGAACAAATCCCTGTTAATGAAGAGTGTCACATAAAAAATATGTGGTAACACTTTACAATGAGGTCCCATTAGTTAATGTTAGTTAATGCATTAACTAACTAACATCACCTCCTTCACATCCTTCAAGGAATAGTTCACTTTAAAATGAAAATTTGCTGAACATTTACTCACCCTTAGGCCATCCAAGATATAGATGAGTTTGTTCTTCATCAGATTTGGAGAAATGTAGCATTGCATCAGTGTCTCATCAATGGATGCTCTGCAGTGAATGGGTGCCGTCAGAACGAGAGTCCAAACAGCTGATAAAAACATCACAATAATCCACAAGTAATCCACACCACTCCAGTCCATCAGTTAAAATTGATTGAATTGATTAAAATCCATCATTAAGACCTTTTAACTTCAAACCATCGCTTCCAGCTATAATACGAGTCCATAATCCATAATAACGCTTCCTCCAGTGAAAAAGTCCATCTCCTGTTGTCTCTCACATCAAAATCCACCCACATATTTGTTTAGAGCTGTTTTGGACTGTTTTAGCTTGTAAACGGTGGTCGATCTGTGCAGATTTCTCTCCTGATTCAGACATGACGGCTGTTCCCTGAAGAAAGCAATATTATGGATAGAGGACTCATATTTTAGCCAGAAGCAACATTTTAAAATGTTAAAATGTCTTAATTATGGAGTTTTTTTTTTTTTTTTTACAAACATGCAGCTTTTGTCTTCTCCAGATGTTAACTGATGGACTGGAGTGTTTTGGATTATTGTGATGTTTTTATCAGCTGTTTGGACTCGTTCTGACGGCACCCATTCACTGCAGAGCATCCATTGCTGAGCAAGTGATGCAATGCTACATTTCTCCAAATCTGATGAAGAAATAAACTCATCCACATCTTGATTTAGTAACTTTTCAGCAAATGCTTATTTTCGGGTGAACTATTTCTTTGAGCTATACTTTTTCATCATTTTGTTGTTAATCAAGTGAGAAATGTCAAGCATGTTTTTGTTTTTGGTTACTGATTAAAATCTGAGTAAAAATCTCATGCTCTACTTGCCTTAACTGCCATTGGTGGGTTAGTGTTGAGAGTGAGCATGGCTGCCCAATGTCCCTCCAGCAATCTTCTCATCTCCTCTGTTCACCCTGCTCAATGACAAGACAGGTTTCTTTTGCTTGTCCCGCCCTACCTCTACAGTCCCTCTGTGTGATTGGCTCTGTGAAGTAGCAGTGGCTCTTTGAAGTAGCGAAGAGGGCAAGGACTGGACAGGGCAGATATACAGACAAGGATGGGTGGATGTATTGAATGGGAGATATTTGAAGGGGTTACAGTGTGCTGCTACAGAGAGAGCTGTGATGTGACAAACCCACAGAGGACAAAGTACCTTTTGGAGGTCGTCCTGCAGTCGCTTCAGCATGGCCTCTAACTGGGACACTTTCTCCTCAAGGTGACCAGGCGAGTCACTGCGAAGGCAGGGAGAGAAAGAAGAACACCAAAAAACAAAACAAAATGATGCCCAGTCAAGTGTTTGGATTAATTCAGATGTTTTAATGTTTTTGAAAGAAGTCTCTTCTGCTCACCAAAGGCTGCATTTGGTGATACAGTAAAAACAGTAAAATTGTGAAATATTATTGCAATTTAAAAAAGCTGTTTTCTATCTGAATATATGGTAAAATGTAATTTATTTCTGTGATCAAAGCTGAATTTTCAGCATCATTACTCCAGTCTTCAGTGTCACATGATCCTTCAGAAGTCATTCTAATATACTGATTTGCTGCTCAAGAAACATTTCTGATTATTATCATAGTATCTTTGCTTAATATTTTGTAGGGCTGTCACAAATGATTATTTTGGTAATCGAGTAATCGGTCGATTATTTTGACAATTAATCGAGTAATCTGATATTTTTGGTGGTAATAGACCTAAGCAAAGACCCAAGCCTTTAAAATGACATAAAATACACATATAATAACAATGAGGCAATACAATTTTGTTCAAATAAAGTGTCAAAAGCAAGTAACCATATGGTTTTATAGAACAACACTGTTAAACTACATAATATAACGATCATCTTATGTACAGTATACACATGTCTCCAGGGGGCGCCAATGGACTGGTGAACAAATCCTTGTTTATTACTGGCCAAACAACCTTTTAATTCAAATGTTTACTTAATCTTTAATATTTGGCCACTTCTTTATGATAGAAATGCTCCAGCCACTGTCATTTCTTGAACAAGAATGTGGACATCAAAACACGCAAACTCAAAGGGAGGGCTTGAACTTTTATTTTGAAATTGCGATATCGTGAAATAGTGTAACAATTTAATTATTTGAATATATGGTAAAATGTAATTGATTGCTGTGATCAGAGCTGAACTTTCAGCATCATTACTCCAGTCTTCAGTGTCACATGATCCTTCAGAAATCATTCTGATATGCTGATTTGCTGCTGAAAGTGTTAATTCCTTTCAATAAATACATAAATAATGTTACTGTCCCCAAACTTCTGAGGGGTTCCGTAACATTTACAGTACTGTTTCATAAAAGCTGTCAGATTTAAAGTTCTCTTTGAGTTGTGAAGGAACATTTGCTAACCGTCTTGCCTCATGTTTTGAGCGCTGTGTAATCTAATGTCGAAGAGTTCATGGCACAGTCAGCCTCACCTGTCCTTGATGTCTTTAAACCTGGTTTCTGTCTGACCTGGCTGGTTTTCTGGGGATGCTTGTGATCCATCTCCTGACTTCCGGTCTGAAACCAAGCAGGACATTACACTATTAATACTCCATCTTGTCACAGAAAAGTAACCAGACCAGCATTCTTCAATGAACAGACTAAACTCACACGTTCACATGTTCAAACACAAATGTCTCACCTTCTCGAGACAAAGCTTCCAGAATGTTCCGGCAGGCGTTGGCCAGATCAGAAATCGACTGCCACTCTTCTTCAGATGAATCTGCTGTCTCTGAGAGAACTGAAATCAACAAAAATATATTGTAAAAGGTCTTTGTGGAGAGTATTTATCATGTATTATCTGTTGGCATCTACAAGAAGTGTTTTTTGGTCTCAAAAACACAATGAAGAAACTATTTTGAATTTTTTTAGCCAACACTGACCCAGAGATGCAACTGATGATTTTTGAATGCTTTTTCAAAATTGTGAATAAAACTAAGATTATACATATACATACAGTGGGTACGGAAATATATATATATATATATGACATTCTACATACTATTTCAGTCTTTCTATTTCAATAATTCATGTTTAAAACCATGGGTTACATGCCGTTTCTTTGTAATTAATTGTGAACTTTACTTTAAATAAAATTACTACTTTAATTGCTAGTTAAAATTGTTTCGACTCCTTTTTTTAGTGCAGACACATTTGCAACTGTTTGGAGTTTAGTGGAATTCTCTCTTCATCTGTCAAGATTGAAATTATTGTTCTATGCTTAAACGAATAAACTATGACACATTTTTAGATAACAAGATTCATTTATGGTTTATGACCTTCTCTGTTCTCCATTACATTCATTCCCAATGCATTTTTTATTTATCATCCTGAGGGTCTCTGGTTACAAATTGGACCAATCACAGCTGTTGTGGTCTGTGTAGATGCAACATGAGTTACACTGGAGAGACGTACGGCACAGGATACACTTTAACCACTGCAACTATGCAGAGCTTACAGCATGAATCGGGCGCAGAAATATAAATAAGCCTTTAGTCTGTTCTTAAATCTGAATATAGCATTAAAAATTATTCTAAAAATTAATAAAAAATTTTACAGTTCATGTGTTCATCCAAGTGAAAGGCATAGTGTAGGATGCATGATGCCTTATTAGGGAAAAAATACAGTTTAAAAGAATGAAATGTAATGTTTTCTGACACCTAATTGCATGTTAATTATAGTTAAATACAAATGCATTATAGTTGAAATTTATATTTAATGCAATAAGCTGAAATTTAGAGAGCTTTCTGACCCACTAAGTAGGACTTACATCTTACATCTTTATATGTAATTTCATAATTATTTATATTGTCTTTGAAATATGATTAAAGTACTGCTGAATGTACTGACAAGCATTTATGATAAACTAAAATACCTTAATGTCATCTCTATTGAATCTTGGGTAACACTTTATTTTAAGGTGTCCTTGTTACATATGTTGCATGTACTTACTATTATAATAACAATTAATTATGCATAATTACATGCAAGTAACCCTAATCCTAACCCTAATCATGTAGTAAGTACATGTAGTTAATTATTTCCATTAAAGATGAATGAATAATTTTTTATATTTTTAGTTTTAGTTAATTATAATAACCCTGGTTGGGAAAGAATTGAAAATTGTGTGATCTTCAGTTGATTCGTGGAGGATGCCCAGTTTTTCTCTGTAACCATGTGTATGATCTGTAAAATCTGTTCAGATTTGTACACATTCCAGCCTTTAGATTAAATGAAAGAGCTCCTGCTGTTTTTCAATTAATTACAGAATTAAACCTCTCACAGTTTAATATATCAAAATGTCCCATCTGTACTTGTGGAAACTGCACTTGTATATTACCAATGAAGCTAAAATAAAGCTTTGGATGTTTTGAAGCCACACAGTCACTGTGGAAGTACTTGAATGACGGATTATTTAATAACCCACTGCAGATAATGGCCTGCTGTAGCAACAGTGGTCTGAACCTATAACATTAACTATATCAGTCATTTAAAAATAATACATTTACTCTGTATTATCCTGTTAACATTAAGAAACACTTACTCTTAGTGATGGAGTTATGGAGGCTCAGAGCTCTGGAGTTTCTTTCTGCACTTTCCATGCAGGAGGATCTCATGGTCACATCACTGACCGACGGCCTCTCTTCAGGCCCCTGATCACACACAAACTAGACAGAGAGGACGAATGAAACCGTCAATGAGTAGAAGCAGGCAGTATGACCACAATATCATAGTAAATGTATATAACAATATGTTTATTTTGCTTGAAATTAAACCTCAAATTTATTGTACTGTTATATGTATGTAGTAATTATGCATAAAGTGTAATACAGAGAATTAAATGCTACAAATTAAAGGTTCTTTAAATCATTAATTCCTTCATGTATATACAGTATGTATGTACATATGTATGTATGTGAATTTTATTTGATTAATGCATGATAAGTCTGGTATCATTAAAAAAATGCTTTACACTGAGTTAAAAACAAGACTCAAAACAACCAATTAATCAATAAAATGTTTCCTTCATCATACTTTCTCTTTTGTCTCACTGAGTATTATTCATTCATTCATTCATTCATTCATTCATTCGAATTTTATTTTATTAATGCATACCAAAAAATTTAAAATAATTTATACGTAATTAATGATAAGTTTGGCATCAATAAAAAAAGTTTTACAAACAAAAGACTCAAATCAATCAATAAATCAATCAATCAATCTGTCTGTCAGTCAAATAAATTAATAAATAAGTAAATGAGTATTCCTCTATTTTCTCATCATATTCATCATACTTTCTCTTTTGTCCCACTGAGTACATTGAGTAATAATTACACGTTTTATTTATTGTTTTTAATTTTATTTGATGGACGCAAACCAAAAGCAATATATAAATTATACATAACTAATGATAGATCTGGTATCATTAAAAGACAGCTTTACACAGAGTTAAAAAAGAGACTCAAAACAATCAAATAAATAAATATTTCCTGCATTTTTGTCCCACCGAGTACATTTATTTATTTATTTATTCGTTTGTCCGTTCATCCGTTTGAATTTTATTTAATGGATGCAAACCAAAAGTATATTTATTAATTTAATTTATACATAATTACTGATAAATTTGGTATCATTAAAAGCTTTACACTGAGTTAAAAACAAAAGACTCATCACAGCAATCAACGAACTAACTAATAAATAAATCAACAAATAATTATTACTCAATGCGCTCATTAGGACAAAGGAGAAAGTATGACGAATATGAGTAGATAAAATGCAGGAAATAGAGCGAGTGAGAGAAAGTGATTTTATAAGGGGAAGAAGGGAAAGGATGAAGTGGGAGGAACAGAAAGGAAGGAAAGAGAGAGAGAGAGAGTGGGAGACGGATCTGAGAGGTTAAAACCCTTCTGAAAACAGCAATCACTTTCCAAATACAGAGAGTTACACAAGCGGATCCATCAGATGCCCTCTGTGTGGGAGACAGATACTGAACACAACAGCAGCACATCATGCCATGATTCAGGTGCTTCAATGCATTGTGCCCTTCTGTAAGTGTCAATGCCCTTAATATTGTTTTTAAGTAAGCCTCATAGTTAGGCGTGTAATGATTCATTTGTTTTCTTGGTGAATCTATGCCGATGTATATGCATCAATCCTGGAACATGGATTTTTGAATCATGAATCATTTGTTTTGGTCGAGAATCTATTTAAAACGTTAAAAAACGAATGAATCATGATTTGGTAAAGTATCATTCAATATATATAAATATATATATATAAGTTAAATGTGGTGTTCTCATGGTCATAAAACAATTATTATTTCCAGACTGAGAAATCGCATGGAAATAAATAAAATAATTTAAAAAAATAAAAATGGAATATGGAATATTTTCCTAAGTGCGCTTGGCTTAAAAATATTTTATTATAGTTTATTAATATTTAGAATTAGTTTGTATTTTAATATTTTCTGTTTCAATTAAAATTTTAGTTAAAGCTTAAGTAAATTGATTGTGTTGTTTGTTTTCTTGAATATGTATATATTATGTATATGTACATATGTATATAGTTATTAGTTATTAAATCTACAAAAAATTTTACTCAATGCACTCAGTTGGACAGAAGATAAAGTATGATAAATATAAACAGATAAAACGCAGGAAATAGAGGGAGTGAGAGAAAGTGATTTTATGAGGGGAAGAAGGGAAAGGATGAAGTGGGAGGAACAGAAAGGAAGGAAAGAGAGAGAGAGAGAGTGGGAGACGGATCTGAGAGGTTAAAACCCTTCTGAAAACAGCAATCACTTTCCAAATAAAGAGAGTTACACAAGCGGATCCATCAGATGCCCTCTGTGTGGGAGACAGATACTGAACACAACAGCAGCACATCATGCCATGATTCAGGTGCTTCAATGCATTGTGCCCTTCTGTAAGTGTCAATGCCCTTAATATTGTTTTTAAGTAAGCCTCATAGTTAGGCGTGTAATGATTCATTTGTTTTCTTGGTGAATCTATGCCGATGTATATGCATCAATCCTGGAACATGGATTTTTGAATCATGAATCATTTGTTTTGGTCGAGAATCTATTTAAAACGTTAAAAAACGAATGAATCATGATTTGGTAAAGTATCATTCAATATATATAAATATATATATATAAGTTAAATGTGGTGTTCTCATGGTCATAAAACAATTATTATTTCCAGACTGAGAAATCGCATGGAAATAAATAAAATAATTTAAAAAAATAAAAATGGAATATGGAATATTTTCCTAAGTGCGCTTGGCTTAAAAATATTTTATTATAGTTTATTAATATTTAGAATTAGTTTGTATTTTAATATTTTCTGTTTCAATTAAAATTTTAGTTAAAGCTTAAGTAAATTGATTGTGTTGTTTGTTTTCTTGAATATGTAAATATTATGTTGTATGTACATATGTATATAGTTATTAGTTATTTTAGTACTCAAGTTAAATTAAATGAAAATGAGAAATGTTGAAAAAAATTGCCGAAAAAATATTTAAGTTTTTTAAATATTTGATTTTATTTCAGTTACATTTTTTTGTAAGTTTTTAATTTTTTACCCTGGTTACCCTGGTTTAAAAACGACCTTCATACGATTTTTAGCATTTTAAGTTGATTCTTGACTGAAACAACGATTCACAGAATAATAGGGAATTTTAAATTGCTATTTCCAGACCAAGAAAACTCATGGAAATATTTTTTTTAAATTATTTTTTTCTTCTTATTTTAAATGGAATATGGAATACTTTCTTAATAGTTTATTATAGTAATTAGTTTTAATTTTAGTATAGTAATTTAGATTTAATTTTATTATAGTAATTTTATTGTATGTTTTTGTTTTATCAGCTCAAAAATATTTTTAGATAAAAAAGTTCGTCAAGACAAACTTTAGGTTGGCTTGAGAAGCCTAGACTGAAAGTTTAAAGCAGTTGTAAAAGCCTGAAGTTTGAAAATTTAGATAGATGTTGATAACATGATTCTAGCATGATTAGCATGTTTTTAGCATGATTAGCCTGTTACTAGCATATTGCTGGCATGATTAACAATTTACTAGCGTGTAGCTAGCATGTTTGTAGCATGATTAACATGTTACTAGCATGTTGCTAGCAAGATTAGCAAGTGATTAGCATGTTGCTAACATGACTAGTAAGAAACTAGCATGTCGCTAGCATGATTAGCAAGTGACTAGCATGTCGCTAGCATGATTAGCAAGTGACTAGCATGTCGCTAGCATGATTAGCAAGTGACTAGCATGTCGCTAGCATGATTAGCAAGTGACTAGCATGTCGCTAGCATGATTAGCAAGTGACTAGCATGTCGCTAGCATGATTAGCAAGTGACTAGCATGTCGCTAGCATGATTAGCAAGTGACTAGCATGTCGCTAGCATGATTAGCAAGTGACTAGCATGTCGCTAGCATGATTAGCAAGTGACTAGCATGTCGCTAGCATGATTAGCAAGTGACTAGCATGTCGCTAGCATGATTAGCAAGTGACTAGCATGTCGCTAGCATGATTAGCAAGTGACTAGCATGTCGCTAGCATGATTAGCAGGTTACTAGCATGTCGCTTGCATGTTTCTAGTATGATTCGCATGTTACTAGCATGATTAGCAAGTGACTGGCATTTCGCTAGCATGATTAGCACGTTACTAGCATGTCGCTAGCACGATTAGCATGTTACTAGCATGTTGCTAGCATGATTAGCAAGTGACTAGTGACTTTGATGCAAAAAACAATCTTAGTTTGTCTTTTTCTTACCTAAGACGCATTAGGAGAAGCATTTACATAACCTATCAATGCACTTTAAAAAATACAGAATCAAATCATTAAATGAACTCGAATTGAATCTCATTGTGAAACGCATCGAATTGAATTATTCTGAATTTGAAAAAATCATTCCTGAATCAAATCTAAATCATTTCGCACCGGTTTGTATCAATAAAGTAATGTGCCTGTGTGAAAGAAGAGGCTGACAACTCCTGACAATCAGTTCATTCAATACGCTCTCCCATCAGCTGCAAAACAATATAGTCTCATAATGAAACGAAAAAAGTGTGAATGACATACCTGTTCCTCTTGCTCCAGAGGCACTTTGGGTTTGACTGCCAGAATGAGGTCAGGGGTCTCGTCCCAAAGCTCTCCAGGGTTTTCATAGATGTGCCTGTTTGCTTTCAGCCCCACGTTATCGTATACATGCCTGACAGACAAACACATTCAAAGAGGAGAAACATTAGTTAAGCAGAATACATAAAAGAGAGTATTTTACAGCATCCAAAATACTACTTTACTTTTGAATGAAATAAAATGTGTTATCGTGCTTATAAATATGAACGCTTTCCAATTAAAGGGGTCGTGCATAATCTTGGTTACCATAGAAGTACACTTTAGCATACTTTAATAAGAGTATTTATTATGGAAATAATATATTTTTAAAACATAAACTTGAGTACGAACTGAATGTGATTTTTTTTTATGAAAATGGATTGTAATTTAAATTTATGTCTATTGTCTTTTTGAAATATGGTTAAAGTACTGCTGAATGTACTGACAAGCATATATGATAAACTAAAATATACTTTAATATAATTTCTATTGAAACTAGTGTCATGTATTTATTTGTAATTACACATTTAAAATAATGAAATTGTGATTTAGTTCATCTAAAACATACTAATTTTATAGTGTAATACTGAATAACACTAAAGTTAAAATTATAATCAAGTACTTTACAGGTGTTATGTTATGTTATGCTAGTCAACACGTCAAAAGTAGCTCTTTAAAGCACAACAAAAGATTATTAAAACAACAGATTTACAATGTATTTTAACTAAACTTTGATGTAAAATTGTAATTATTACAAAGTGTATCTTTTTAAAGTTAAGAAACAGTCAAAGTTTGTTATTGTTGTTATTGTTAACTAAAACTAAAATAATGAAAAAAAAATGTTTTTGTTAATTAAAATAAAGGTAAAATAAAAGAAAATATCCTGGAAATATTAGACGAACACTTAAAATTATCTTTAAACGTAGTAGATTTAGTAAAAAAAAATAGTAGTTTTAATCATTTTAGTGTAAAAAAAAAAAAAAAAAAAAACCTAACTGGAATAAAATAAGTTGAAATACTAAAATTAATAAAAAAATAAAATAAAAATAAATTAAAGACAAATATATTACAAAACATAAATAAATAAATAAAAATGTCATTGTAAAACTACTTACACTATAATTAACATGCCAACTGAAAATGCAAAAATAAAACCTACTTCAAAACGCTAATAAAAACTATAATAACATATAAATAATAGTAAAATAACACGGTTGCAGAAAGGTAATTTTGGACCCTGATTTAATCTGTTTGTTAAGGAGTAAACAGGACATTTTTAGAGTGAAATCAGAAGCAGACCAACAGAACAGACAGAACCGCATACCCTTCAATGATGTCCTGATACGGAGCGTGTCCTTCTAGCGAGTAGCTCCGTGTGAGAGAGACGGGGGTGACTTCAGGGCTCTGGCTCTTCATGCTGTCCTGCAGGGAAGTCGCCCGTAAGAGAGGCAGGCTGGGTGGAGAGAGGAGCAAATCTGTTTCCATGGGCTCCGGAAATTCCATCTGCTCTCCAAGAAGCTCCTGCTTTAGAGTTTCACTGTCTGACGTCTTATTTTCAATCTCTTTCTTCTCCTCTTTCTCTCCTCCGCCGCCATCAACCTCAACTTCTTCATCGTCATCCAGAACCCAGGCCTCGCCTGACCGTCCCTCTCCGGATTTGCTCTCCGCGTCCTGGATGGCCTTCTGGTAGAGCTCAGAGAAACTCCTGAACTCAGACAAGCACAAGAGCAACGGGAAAAGAACGTGAAGAACAACAAACAAAGTTTGAGCTGATTTATTTCAGCGTACGCATTTCACTGTTAGTCATGGATGAAGAGATCAATGCTGCTATTTTGGTTTTCTTTTTTGAAGTATATTATATAATCAAAGACTTACATAAATAAGTAAGTCGCTGTATATAGGATTTGAAAAAAATGCAGTTTTGTGTGTGTGTGTGTGTGTCAGTGTGTGTGTGTGTGTGTGTGTGTGTGTGTGTGTGTGTCTGTGTG